AAACACTATATAGTCAATAGAACCTACTAGTTGATTCTTTGGTGTCATGCACTGCTTCAATACTTTTTTTTGTGCAACCTCCTGTTTCATTTCTTTGGTCGGGATGCATGACAAGTTTCAATATACGATGCCCACAAGCGATGTACTACTATTCAGAGCAGAACCAGAAGCAAGATATTGACCGCGTTGCGTGGTGGCATGTATAAAATCATTAAAGCTACTATGCATCTCTGTGTAGTTGACCATCTTTCCATTTATCTAGCTTCGGTGCCAAGCAAATGCAACAGTGCGCTATGAACAGTTTCCAAGCTTTAGATCTCTTCACAACTCAACCTTTTGGCTTCCATTTATTTTGACAGCACTTTGAAGAATAGTAATGATCATGCTTGATTTGAATCAAACATTAGCATTTATACATTCTGTTGTCCAGATAGAGTTATCTTTATGTTACGTACATAACTTAAACAAAGAACAATGGGTCTCTGTGCAACATTTTGAAATATCAAGATATCTCTCTGCAAATTGTAACACTCAGGGTTATGATAAAATAACGGAGATATGATTTTGTTTCGGTATCAAAGATCTCATCGTTAATAGAAAATTAGGACAAAAAATAGCATACGCTCTATACTACAACTTATACCTGCAATTAACCCTAAAATAAAATATGGAGAACCCGAGGCTCAGCTACCTGATTACAATGCAGGAAATGACATCATGGATTATGTATATTTCCACCTCTTGATTTCTGCAATTAACAACTATCACTTATTAATAATAGTGGCGATAATTATTTAAAAAAGAATACAAGTTTATGTTGGGGAATTTTACTCTCCCTGCCTACTACAGTAAGCGCAATTCGGAAGCCAACCTACAATCAACAAGATAGAAAATAATCATAATCAAGAAGAAATAACACTAAGATTTATGTGGTTCGATCAACCAACTTCGACCTACATCAAATGGGCAACAATACTAGAAATCCACTATATATTAGGGAGAACTACAAGAGGAACCACTTAACTCTCGCCTCTCAATCTCTCAACCTCACATACATAATCAACTCTCATATTCTCTCAAAAACACTCTCCTTACAATCTTTTGAAACGGACAAAGACTGCGAAACCCTTTCCCAATGTTGTAATCTTTTGCACGGATAAAGACCACGAAACCCTCGTCTCTCGCACAATATTCTTGAATCAGGCTACGCCCTCTGCTAACCCTAGATTACAAGAATATTGGCTCTCTCTCCTCTGCTTGGTTTTTCCTCCAACAATAGAAGAATATATATAGGGAAACTAAAACCCTATCTCTAGCCTAACTTTCTAATTAGAATAGAATTCAAACTTCTAATCACGATGAGATACAATCTTCTAATCATGATAGATCTCTAACGCTATCTAATTCTGATGAAGTTATACAAAGAATCAAAGACACATTCCCAACAGCTTATACTTTTACAAGCCAGAGACTAATGACCGTGTCATAATAAGTTGGATTTTTTTCTTGCAAATCACCCTAAAAATAGGGTCATTATACAACCACATTTATCTTCAATTTATATGTAAAATATTTTTAAAGTGATCATTAATTATGTTTCAATCATCCACCTCCTATTATAATTTTAAATAAAAACTCAAAATTAAGCTTAAAAATGCAGGTTTAAGATAAGCGAGTCATACACTGACAATCACAACATAAGAGTATCAACATAGTAGAGAGCAATTGCAACCACATTATGTAAACAAAACAGAAGAACATTCTAATTTAATTAAAACAAAAAATAATCCGAAACCTCGATCTTCAACCTCTCGAATGATGAGGGGCCCAGCACCCCCGTACCAACTTTCGTGACAACAATAATGGCATTCAAAAATCCAAGAACATGATTGATAGAAAGGATGCAAATTTACCTTATTGTAACTAGGATCATTTCACATATAAAAAGTGATCAAATGTGCTGAAATTAAGCGACCCGTTTGAATCAAAGGTTGTGTCCTCCCCACCCTAAATTTTGTCCATTATTCAAATTTGTAAAAATTTTAGGGAGTACTGTTATTTGTTGGGGATTGTTTGGTACAACTTTTGGACCATTGTATCTCGAGAAAATGGTAAATTTTCAGTTAAACAAACTCCAAATTTGTCTTTTTAAAAAAAAAATCCTCCAAAGTTGCATTTGATGCTTATAGTTTTATACTCTATATAACATATTCAAACGGGTTAAAACTTTTTCCCCTATGGATAGAAACCCGGACTCGTGTAGCAATGATATCTTATTTCACTTTATTTATAGCCCATGACATGCTGATCATGTTAAACGAATCCTCATCACTTTATCACTCCCAACTCGTGGCTTGTGCGCCAAGTGTTATAACTTTGTACTCCGAGCAGGATGGTTAAAAAAAAAAAAAAACCCCCAGTTTTAAGCTTTATTTTCGACCTACCTAAAACTGGGCGGCTCAGTTTTTGCCATAAAAAAACACAGGGATTTGGATCCTCTACACTACAAAAAAGTAGTGGAGAGATCACTACTTTTAATCTCAAGCATTGATTATTTAGTAGGCGGTTATGATACAATCTAAATCTAACACTTACCATACCCTCGTGTATTGCACTCATTCCTAATTTGTACTAAAAGAAAAAATCATAACCATCAACTAGATAATCAATGGCTGTGATTATGTAGTGGTCCCTCCACTATTTTTTTGTAGTGGAGAGGATCTGAATCCCAAAACTAGGCCAGGAGGCCCGGTCTTAAAGATTCGCCAAACACGCTCTTAACAATGTCCAACAGTTCCTAAGTTGCATATCAAATCAAACAATTAGATGTACGGAAATATCATATGTGTCTCTTTTAACTCCGTTTTGCAGTAGAAGTGGAGGTAGAATGAAGAATTAATGGGACTCCCATTCTGTGTGTTGTAATGATGACTCTCGAAATGAGAGATGTAAACGAACTTGTATTTTTGAGACGTTGATTGAATTAATGGGATCAAACTAGCTACCTCAGTGTGTTGGTTGTATTACCACTACGTCTCCAAACCACCTGCACTAGCCACGGTGGGTGGTGTGGCTATTTTTTGTTTGTCATATGTTTGAACTTTATTCATATTGCAAAGAAGATGATATATCAAGATCATTTGGCTGGGGGTTTTTTTTTTTTGACAAGGGAAACCCGGTTAGCTCTCCCAACTTTAACTCATTTGGAGTCCGCCAACGGAGACTAGTTCGAATCCCTCAGGTTCCCAACTTCTGAAAGGAGCTACCCTTGCTACCAGGGGCTCATCCTCACGTGAATGGGCGATCAGCGTGGGACCCTAAAGGCCTCGAACTGATGAGCATACAATGGGTTGGGTTAACTAACCAGTAAAACCCCGGGTTTCTGTCCCCATCCTTAAACCCACATAAACCAGGTGAATGCGGAAGCGGGGATTCGAACCCCTGACCAACTAAGGAGATCTCCTCCCTCACTCTTCGTGGCGCAAGCCAGAAGTCCCACCCGTGGGTTTTGATTGCGCAGATTCTGTTGCTATTAACTGTGTATCATGTTTTAACTATAGCTGATTATAGCACATTAGTTGATTGTTAAGGCCAGTTGAATGCAACATTCTCTAATTAATAGAGCACACGTGCTAATCCTTTGATTATAATAGATGTGTGGTTTTGTTTATCCTCGATTGTAGCACGTGCTCAACATTCTACACTTCCAGCAGCCCCATGACTTGAGAATGCAAATCCGAACTTCGATGTCTACACAGTTTGATTTTGGGTCGCGCCTTTAAACCCCCATAAAACTAACCACATCACATTGTTTAAAACCAAAATATTACAGTATCAAATGTTAAAATTTCCCTTCTTATTAATAAGAAAAGATCCATAAACTCAACTATGAGATTTACTGGATAACTCTCTCGCTACATGACTCTGAAACACAGCCTTGGTTTCTTTTGGTAGGAACACAAAATGTAAACTAAAATATCTCACAGCGATGAAAACATATCGTTCCTTTGTGCTTATTGCTTATATTTTTTTATTAGTAAATATCCACATTTCCGCATATACTTCAGGCTGGTTACTTAAAATCACAAAAGTATCATCTCAGTCAGATAATGTTGTCTATATAAACATCCCGCAGCTTAATGCCGAAGAAAAGGATTCAAACAATTATAAGAATGTTTCATGAGAAATATCGCGATGAACACATGAGTCATGTCCAATGCAGCTGAAACCCACACTTTTCCCTGCTTTCAATAAAAAGTCGAACAGCGGCAGCAACGAAATTATCCCACCTGCTATAGGAGTTCAAAATTACAGCAATATAACCTCTAAACTATGATTCTTTTTCCTATTTCTTGGAGGTCCTTTAACTGTTTTATTAAGCAACAAGATTCTAAAGTTATTCCCGAATCTAAATCTAAAGTCAAGGAAAAGCACATGTTCAGGATCTAACAAGATGGACATATGCTTGCATAGGTTATCTAGGTCCATAAATGCCCTGGATGGAGTTGTGAAATTCTCATGCATTTTCTACAGATTCTAAACCTTATAATCATTCTTGATGGTGTTGATCACCGGCTATTTGTAGGTGTTATGGAGTTCCTCATTCTTCGTCTACAGACGCTGCTTCGTATTTCCCACACCCAAGCGATTATTGTGGATGAAACTGCACAAAATGAGACTAGATGCCAGATTTCTGCATCATACCTTAATTGCTGGCCTCCTTGGTTCGCATCAAGCAACAGTGGGCTTGGATGTCAGATTTCTACATGATGTTGGCCTGGGCGAGTCTAGCTTTGAGCTTTTGTATCTCCTCATCTTTGCTTATAATCCTGTTTCCAGCAAAGTAATGTCTCACAAAGCACATTTTATTGAAATAAATACTGTATTTTGCTCTTGAGAGCTCAGTTACCTCAATTGCAAGTCGGTGACTTCTTGCAGCAGCTCTTTCTCCCTTTCATTTACTGCTTCCAACTGCACAAATAAGAAAAAAATTCTTAAAAACTAAAGCTCCAAAAAAGTTCAACCGCTGCATCAAAATAATCAAGGTTTAGAAGCTATAAATTCCTTTGACAACATATACTAAACAGCGGAAATACGTCCTGGAAAGGAACTCTAAAGCTTATCATTTGCCTATTGGAGTGACAAAAGTTGTTGGATTTCAAGTTTCAATTATTGTTTATAGGGTAAAGAGGAAGTGAAGTTTGTATACATTTATCCGCATTAAACTACGTGAATAAGGTGAGCAGTGAAGAGAAAGAGAATAAAAATTTTCACTGACATTCATCTGACAGTGGCAGCAACACAAATGTATAACAACTACCTAACATATATCAACACTTCACAACTTCCTCAAACTTAAGGTTCCACTGACAGTTTGTACAAAACCAATCAGAAATTATTGATGTGAAATAATCTAAATAACAGAAATGTATAACATTCTTGATATCATAATTAATCATACAACAGTTAGTAATATTCTCAAGTTTCAGTATATATCTTGATAACAGAGGATGAGTGATCTAATTAGGATTGCAATCATATAACATAACAATATTAAGGTTAAGCTTAACGGATGTTTTTGTGGAACTAGCAGCAGAGGTCGACAGGTTAAGATTCAGGCAAACTGGGTGGCGGTCGACCGGCCCGAGCATTGGTGTCGGTCGACCGGGTCGGTCGACCGACGAACTCTCTGGAATTTTGGTTGGCTTCTGGATGGAGGGCGGTCGACCGGTCCGGTCGACCGACATGGATCGCGGTCGACCGGTCCGGTCGACCGACGCTGCGGGTTTCAGTTGGGTTCTGTTTCCAGACCCGTTTCGTTTGAGAGTTGTATTTAAACCCTGAACTCGTTTCTAGGGTTGAAGCTTTGGCGATTTTGAGCTGCTGATAGGGGATTTCTAGGGCTTCTATTGTTGGAGTCTATTGGAGTGATCAATTGGTCTTGTTTGAGGGTTTTGGGTAAGATTTGTAACCCTAATTTGTATTTCCCTTTGATTTCATTAGTAAAGCTTCCCCCTCCTTGCCCCGTGGACGTAAGCACATTGCCGAACCACGTATATCTTGTGTTCTTGCTGTGATTGGTTGGCTTGTGTTCACTTGTGGTCTACTATTGTTCTTGTGTGTGCTTTTGATTTGTCTATTTGGGGCTTCCGCGGCGCACAACAAGTGGTATCAGAGCTCCGGGTTGGATTTGGGAGTTTTGTTCGAAGGATTCACTGTTGGATTCTTGGTTGAAGAGTAGATCTACAATATGGTTGAAACAAGCAGGGCTAGTTCAAGTGCTACTAGTACATCGGGGTCGGCTTTGACAAAGGCGATCCAAAATTTGAGCATCAATAACACTAAATTGATGTCCCAAAGTTCGACGGCAAGATTAACTTCGGTTTATGGAGGTGTCAAGTAATTGACGCCTTAGATGCACAAAATTTAGAGGAGACTCTTGAGTTTCAAGAGAAACCCGAGGAGATTGATGATAGGGTTTGGAAGAAAATGCACAGTAGAGCTTGTGGGGTGATTCGGTCATGCTTAACGCCGGACCTCATTTATGATGTGATGAACGAGACATCGACAAAGAGATTGTGGGAAACGCTCAATGAAAAATATTTGACAAAGAGCATTGAGAATATGCTTCATTTGAAGAAAATGTTCTACCAATTCAAGATGAAGAGAGGAGTTTCCATTCGAGAGCATGTTAACAACTTCACAAAGCTGATTTCGGATATGACCAATGTTGATATCATGGTGGAGGATGAAGACAAGGCGATGTTATTATTGTGTTCGTTGTCAGATGATGAATTTAGTACTTTTGTTCTCACTATGATAAATGGACGAACTATAGTTAGCTACAAGGAGGTGACCTCGGCATTGGTGAATTATAAGCTGAGGAAGAATGATTGTGAGCCCTCCGAGAAGGCATCGGGTGATGCACTTGCAGTTCGTGGCCGTAGTCCAAACCGTCAAAAGTTCAACCGCTCAAAATCAAAGAATAGGGGTGGCCATAAAAGTGTTGGTAGAAATCAATGCGTCTTTTGCAAAGAAAAGGGACATTGGAAGAATGAGTGACCAAAGTTGAAGGATAGAGCCGGGAAGCAAAGGGGGAAAGCTGTACAAGCTTCAGAGGTGAATGTTGCTAAGGTTGTTGGCGACATTTCAGATTCGGATTCTTCCGGTTATTCTTATCCCGTACTGTCGTCAGTTTGTTATGCCGACTCTACGGAGTGGATGCTTGATTCGGGAGTTACATTTCACATTTGTCCTAAGAGGAATTGGTTCACCAACTTTGAGGAGTTGGAGAGAGGAGACGTGGTGCTCATGGGGAACGATCACGTTTGTCCTATTAGTGGGATTGGCTCAGTCAGAATCAGAATGCATGACGGGGTGACTAGGGAATTGAAAGAAGTGAGGTTCGTGCCGCAGTTGACGAAGAACATCATTTTTCTTGGGACTTTGGAGGCATCCGGGTATAGAGTGATATTAGAAAATGCTAGTTTGAAGGTCATGAAGGGTTCTATGGTGGTGATGCGAGGTGTTAGGGAAAACAACCTATACTACTTGAAGGGCAAGACAGTTACAGGGGGTCTGGCAGCTTCTATCACCACAGAGGAAGACACTACCATACTATGGCACATGAGGCTTGGACACACAGGTGAAAAGTCCCTACAGTCATTGGCAAAACATGGGCTATTGAAAGGTGCAAAGACCTGCAAGATGGAGCTGTGTGAGCATTGCATTCTTGGGAAGAAGACTAAAGTAAAGTTCGGCACCGTAATTCACAACACTCAAGGTATATTAGACTACATTCACACAGATGTTTGAGGTCCTTCCAAGCACACATCGCTTGGCGGGGTAAATTATTTTGTCACTTTTATTAATGACTATTCCAGAAGGAATTAGGTATATACCATGAAGCATAAACATGAGGTCCTGGATATATTTGTGGAGTGGAAGAAAAAAGTGGAGCTACAGACAGGTAGAAAGGTGAAGACTCTTCGTTCAGACAATGGTGGAGAGTAGAAGAGTGATCCATTTCTGTAGTTTTACCGGGATCACGGCATTAGAAGACACTTCACAGTTAGAGAGATACCGCAACAAAATGGGGTGACAGAGAGGCTGAACCGTACCTTGCAGGAGAAGGTGCGATGTATGATGACGTAGAGTGGATTGGCTAGATCTTTTTAGGCCGAGGCGTTAGTTTATGCGAGTCATCTCATTAACAGGTTACCATGCACTGCGATAGAGGGGAAGCTTCCTATGGAGTGCTGGTCTGGTTCTGTGGCTAGTGATTATGATACTCTTCGGATATTTGGGTGCCCAGCTTATTTCCATATTAGTGATGAAAAGTTGAATCTGAGAGCGAGGAAGGCTATCTTTGTGGGATTTAGAGAAGGTATAAAAGGCTTCAAACTATGGGATCTACAAGACAAGAAGATGATCATTAGCAGAGATGTCACATTCGATGAGGCGTACATGATGAAGCCTAGAGTTCCTCAGCGGGTGAAGGAAGATCAGACAAGAGGGATATCGCAGCAGGTGGAGGATGATGTGACTCCACCCACTCCAGTTGGCACTGTTCCCATAGAGACTCCTACAGAGGTGACACAGGAAGGAGTTGAGATGACAGTCGGGCATTTGGAGGATACAGTGGATGATGAGGCTCAGGAGCAGGGTCATGCTCAGGGGTCCATTGCAGCAGATAGACCGAGGAGAGAGATTTGTCGGTCAGCTAGATATGATGATGTCATGGTGGCATATGCTTTATCTGTGGAGGTCGTTGATGATTTTATTCCCGTCACATTCAGGGAGGCAGAGTCCAGCCCTGATTCTATTAGGTGGAGGAATGCTATGGAGGAGGAGATGCAATCTCTTCAGAAGAACGACACTTGGGAATTTACAAAGCTATCTAAGGGTAAGAAAGCTATTGGTTGCAAGTGGGTGTATGCTAAGAATGAAGGATCTTCTATTGGGGACATTCGATTCAAGGCCAGATTGGTTGCCAAGGGATATGCACAGCTTGAGGGCGTTGATTACAACGAGGTGTTTTCACCCGTTGTGAAGCATTCGTCGATTCGGATACTATTGGCATTGGTGGCACAGCTGGACTTAGATTTGGTCCAAATGGACGTGAAGACGGACTTTCTACATGGAGACTTAGATGAGGAGATCTACATGACACAACCTATGGGGTTTAAAGCTGCAGGAAGAGAAGATTTGGTGTGCAAATTAAAGAAATCTCTTTATGGACTGAAACAATCACCGCGACAGTGGTACAAAAGATTTGATAGCTTTATGATTGGCCGAGAGTACACGAGGAGCCCTTATGACCCGTGTGTTTATATGCGCAAGCTATAGGATGGTGAGCACATTTATTTATTATTGTATGTTGATGATATGCTCATAGCTTCCAGGAATACTTCAGCTATTGGGAAATTGAAAAAGGAGATGTCATCTGAATTTGAGATGAAGGACCCGGGAGAGGCTAAGAAGATATTGGGTATGGAGATTGAGCGAGACAGGGTGAAGGAGAGATTAAAGCTTACACAGAGGAGTTACTTGCAGAAGATGCTGAAGAAATTCAGTTTTGAGGGTAATACCAAGGTGGTGAGTACTCCATTAGCTCCCCACTTTAAGCTTTCAGCTTTGATGTCACCAGTTTCAGTGGAGGATAGGGACTATATGTCCAAGGTTCCATACGCCAGCGCAGTGGGTAGCTTGATGTATGCTATGGTGTGTACTAGGCCAGATTTATCACAGGCCGTGAGCATGGTATCTAGGTACATGCACAACCCCGGGAAGGGGCATTGGGAGGCCGTGAAGTGGATTCTACGGTATATTAAGGGTACCGTGGATGTTGGGTTGATATTTGCGAAGAATGATGAGACATGACAGGATTGTATTGGCTACGTGGATTCAGACTATGCCGGAGATCTTGACAAGCGTCGGTCCACTACAGGTTATGTTTTTACATTGGCTAGTGCACCGTGTTGGAGATGCACTCTTCAGTCTATAGTGGCACTTTCTACTACGGAGGCGGAATATATGGCGGTGACTGAAGCAGTGAAGGAGGCTTTGTGGCTACATGGCTTGTTGGATGATTTGGGGATTGCACAGGAGACCATTCAGGTATATTGTGATAGTATGTCGGCTATCTATTTGGCGAAGAACCTAGTCTATCATGCACGCACGAAGCACATTGATGTCAGATTTCACTTTGTACGTGACGTATTGGATGATGGTGATGTCACGTTGGTGAAGGTCCACACTAAGAATAACCCTGCTGATATGTTGACCAAAGTTGTACCAGGTGTGAAGTTTGGTCATTGTTTGAACTTGTTAAATATTCTTCATTGTTGAGGCCATTGGCGGCCATTTAGATGAACTACGCTCGACTTGATTCCTTGGGCAAGAAGATACGTAGGCAGTCTTGCAGATGCAGCCGGTTGAGATTGATTGGGGGGTGTTTTTGGTGTCGGCTCAGTTTTGGCAAATGTTCGCCGAGGTGGAGATTTGTGGAACTAGCAGCAGAGGTTGACAGGTTAAGATTCAGGCAAACTGGGTGGCGGTCGACCGGCCCGGTCGACCGCATTCGTGCACATTGTTCACTGGGCTTCAGCATTGGTGGCGGTCGACCGGACCGGTCGACCGCAGAAGTTTCTGCTCGGTGGTCGGTCGACCGGGTCGGTCGACCGCCGAACTCTCTGGAGTTTGGGTCTCTTGCTGGTGGTCTTGTTTGAGGGTTTTGGGTAAGATTTGTAACCCTAATTTGTATTCCCCTTTGATTTCATTAGTAAAGCTTCCCCCTCCTTGCCCCGTGGACGTAGGCACATTGCCGAACCACGTATATCTTGTGTTCTTGCTGTGATTGGTTGGCTTGTGTTCACTTGTGGTCTACTATTGTTCTTGTGTGTGCTTTTGATTTGGCTATTTGGGGCTTCCGCGGCGCACAACAGTTTTTGATGCATTCTTTTATTTTAAGAAAGTACTATTTGCTAAACCTTTCTAGTCACACATTATCTAAGAACCTTTCTGGTCACAAAAGGCAAGTTTCTGCATGACACATTTTTCCACAGCTGCAGGCTGCAAATGTAAAGAAATTGATCTTATTTCTTTTCATTTCATCTGATTATGCCCCAGGAGTTAAGATATGAGATGATTTAAACTAATTTTTTTGGAAAGCAAGCAGTATGTATCCTACATATGATAATCGTCTACCATTCATTTTTGCAACTGATAAGCTCATTGTCCATGTTTCGAAGTACATAAGTTTTAACAGCAAATTTTTGCAACTGATAAGCTCATTGTCCATGTTTCGAAGTACATAAGTTTTAACAGCAAATTGAATGAGTACAACGTGAATTTCAAGATATGTTAAGTTACTAAAATGAATCATTGATCTACTGGTCAGTAACATTTTTCATTGTTTTAATTTATAATGATTTTAATGGTATTTTTCGTCTTCAATGTTATCTCTAAAAAGAAGAGTAAAAGTTCTATGCATATTGATATGAATAGAGATTTGTATGAGGGAATGGTAACTTGGAAGAGAAGACAAATCCATTCCATATCCCATAGGTTTCCACAGCCAAAGTCGACCTCAAGTGCTCATTTCTGTACGTTGGCTATGGATGAACTTCCTAGACAAACTTAGGATGCACTTTTATGGCATATATACGTCCTGCATTGACCAAATCAAGTGCAGGGAAACCAAAAAAAAAAAAAGATCATAGTCACGTAGTATGAGAAAATCAAAGGGCAAACTATATATGGTTATTACCAAACTCATATTCTATTTCTTAAAGAGAAAGATATAGTTCTTCGTCATTTCATGCACATGGAAAAAAAATCAGAACAGTATGCCACCATGAGCAATATGAAAATTACATTCATGTATAAACCCACTCAAAACTTAAGAGTAAAATAACTTATGAACACATAACTCATTTAGGTCCAATAGGGTAGAACCTGTCTAAGCCAAAAATCTTGGCCCAGTCTGATGGAAAATCAGAAAAACTTGAGCACATCTTGAGTTCAACAGGGTCAGATGGAACCAAAAGGGGCCAAACTCAGCCCTGATTTCCTATCTTTGAAAGAAGCTTTGGGATTTAAAGGATCTAGAATTAGTAGAACAGGGACTAACATATAGAAGGTACTACATGAGAAGGAACGAGAATGTATTATAGATCATGACAGAGAAGATATAAGAGCAGTAACTTTTTTAATTTTAGAACGAATGATTCATCATGATGGAGAAATAAATGAGAATGTAGTCCATAGAATCTTAGCAATATGTGAAATACATAAGTGATCTGGAGTTACTATGGAATCCTACAATATCGATGAAACCATGGGGAAAGTTCTATAGAATAACTAGAGACAATTTTTTACTGGTGGAAGGCTAGGCAACTACAGGAACATGTCTGAGAAAATGACATAGCAAAAATAAAAATTATGAGATTGAAAATAAAAATGTTGACATCGACAAGTGACAATAATAAGGGTATATAGAAATGAATGGTTATGTATCCATAAGCAACTTGACACTAAATTTAGATGGTCTGTGCGTGGGCAATAGAGCTCAATATATGCACCACTTGATAGAAGTGCTAGGACCTTATTCAATGAAACAACGAAAACTAGAGGTAGTTATAAACATAATATGTCCGGAGAACAGTCTCAAAAATAATATGTCCGGAGATACTTTAAGGAACTCCCTTTCTACTTCTGGTACATGAACAGAAGCCTACAAAATACTCTTCCAAGGTCCCAAAAAAGAAAGACAAATGTACACGTAGCCCACAAAAGTTTCAGAATATAACTTATTTGAAGTTGTACTACTGAAAACTAGATCATTCAAGTTTACGAACAACATACCTGCTTATGGTTATAATCTATTATTGTAGGACCATTACAAAATTACCTTTATCCAAATTGTGTACAACCATTTTGTTGAAAATCAAGTTATCACTCTTCCTGTATACTATTTGAATCGTCAACTTCCATATTTATCCTTGAAGATTACATATTCAAATTACCTTTGCAATTCAACTAAGAGTCTTGTTGACTATAGCTGATGCATTTGAAAGTTAAGGCTTTCCCTAACAACATAAATATTACAAAGGGCTATTATGAGCATTTTGTTCCTTTAATGTTTCAGAACTTCTAATAACGCTGTAAATTTTAAGTCTTATAGTTACATAAAGAACTGGTATATGCTCATGTTCGTCTAGGAAACCTAACTACTGACATGGAGAAATGGATGTCGAAGCAATTGACAAAAAAATAAATCAAACTATTGCATGAACCAAAACCTATATATATGGTCTACAATAGCATGAAAATAAAGTAATGTGCATAATTATCAAGTACATAAAATAACGACTTACCAAGGAAACTGTAGATACTGATACCAACGGCCCATCTGCTGAGCGATTAACTGATGCAATGAAATCTTGTGACTTTTTTTTTTCCGTCAAAGCGAGAAAATTAACTTGTAAAAAGATAAAAGTGAACCTGATTGTTCACCAGTGCACAGTTGCTTCATCACGGAAAGAGCATAATCCTGCTTATCAAAAGAACTAAAAGTTCAAATATCACTTAAAAGAAGAAGCCTATGGTGCCATAATATCTCACTCACCTTTTGAAGCGTACTAGTCTGTAGAATTGAAAGCATATGTTGAAAAAGTGAACCGGCAATTGGCGTAGCATCTGAGGGTGATGGAACAGTTGGAGAAGTAACTTGTGAAATCACCTAAGAATCCATAGTATGTGATTAAGGTCTTTTTTTCACAACAAATAAATAAATAAGAAAATGTTTATATAACCATGTATTTGACTTGTAGATCCAATGTAAAACAACAACCATTACCTACCATAAGATTAACCATTAACGATCCTGTAACTGAGTTTTTCTTCGTAAAACACATTTTGTTATCCTTTTCTTTATTACTAAGAATAACATTGCTTATCTTATACATCATAATTTTTGTAAGTTTTCCTATCTCAAAAAATTATGTTAAATCTTATCAACACGTTTATGATTAATAATAAATCAATACAAGCATCTATGATTGTAAGATTATGGTGTAAAGACCTCATACATCAATATGGAAGAGCAGAAATCATCATGCAAGAATGACACCCACTTCTATCCTCATCTAAATTTTTTGTGGACAAAGGGTTCTGTTGGCCTTCCTGTTTTGATGATGATTTACAAACAATTTACTTCTAATGTTGTTTGTTTAGTGTTTATGTTTTTTTATCAATTGTAGACAAACAACAAGTTGGAGGATGGATGTAATTGCGCTTTAACGATCATATCCAATGGAGGTTGGCGGAATAGTGGGTGAAGCCTATGCAATTCAAGTTGAAGATCCAAGTTTCAGCTTCATCCGCAATGTGTACCAAGTCAAGCTTATTGAAGATCAAAATCAAGCTTGGGTAACATTAGTTTAGGTTTATATTATGTGTGTTGGTACTTTAAGCTCAATCATATATACACACACATTATATTGGTTTTCTTGTATATATATAGTTAAGGTCAGTTCATGTTACAAAGGATCAAAGGTCAAAATCTCTGATCTCTATACTGCTATTTCCCCTTCAAAGTCCAGTGGTATAATAAAGTATGGGGGAATTTGAATTATCCTAAGCATAGCTTCATCCTATGGCTAGTTGTGCTTGATAGACTGCTCACAAGAGACCCACTGATGAAGAGAGGTATTATTCAAGATGGATATTGTTGTTTATGCAACGGGTCTGTTATTGAATCCAGGAATCATTTGTTTTTTGAATGCAATTATTCAAATACTGTCTGGAATAAAATCATGGACTGGTTATGTTTTAAATGGAGGGCTAGTAGCTGGCACTTGGTGATGAACTGGTTCAGCTATAGGTTAAGAGGAAAAGGCTCCAAACAGAACATGAAGAGATTAGCTTTTTCGGCCACAGTATATTGCTTATGGAGGGAGAGAAACAACAGAATTTTCAAGCATGAGATCAGGAGTGCTGATCAGATAACAAGGGAAATCAAAGTTGATACTTTAACAATCGCATTCAATAGCTCCATTTCAGCGGAGCACAAAGCATGGCTTTTAACACTGTAAAAGCGATTATACTTGTAAAATAGCTAAGCGTTTTTCTCTTTCTTTTGTGAGTAGTTTGTTTACTTGTGTTTTTTTTTCAGCTTTGTATATGCTGAATGATTGAGGTGTACACAAACTTTCAAATTTGGGAAATGATATAAATTCTTCATTGACCAAAAAAAATAGTTATATATATATACATACATAGTTTTAAGTTTTCATGCTTATAAATATGAGATTACATATTTATTATTGTGTTTTGGTTTAACTATATAGACATGAAACAAATTTACATTCATATATATAATCATATGTTTCATACTTTATTTTGGTTAAGAATATATTGCATAGAATATGCAATTTTGAGAAAATATTATTTTCTTGGTTTATGGTCTTAACAATAATCATATACATCTTTTATTAAGTCTACAAAATCATTTTATAATGTTTCAAAACTTGGTTAAGCTAAAATGTCAAAACTCATGTGTTCACATTTTTATGTTTTGGACTATTTTGCAAAATGATGATATTTCAAATTTGGGAGGTTCTTTTTGAAAACCAGTTTTTGTAGTATGTTTATTATCATGTCTATAATCATCTCCCAAAGTTTCATAATTTTTTGAATTTATTTGATATTTTTAAACATGGTTTAAAGTTGAGTTTTTCTGTGCATTTCAGATCTGTGCACGTTTAGTCGACTCATGAGTCGACTCATAGGTCGACTCACGAAGTACAACGGAGTTGTGATTTTTTGTCTGCTGAGTCGACTCATATAAGTCGACTTATCAGAGAGCCGTTGCACAGTAACGACTAGTTTTCTGTTTTGTTTGTTTATGGGTTTTTGGTCTTTTTCTTAGGGTTTTTGTTGAAGTTTTGAATGGGTATAAATACCCCTTGCTCTCATCTTTCACAACAACTAATGAAATGTTTTAAACAAGTTTAAAATATTTTTAAAACAAGGGTTTAAGTTTGTTTAATGTTTGTTTAGAAGCTTTTAAGCAATTGAGGGTTTGAGTTTGTGAATTCAATTCCACAAGAGCTTGAGGAGATCATCTATTGGAGTTTGAGCAGTCAACTATTCTCTCTCCACCTCTTGTCATCTTTTGAGAAGTTTGCTTAACTCTTTTCTAGCTTTATATTTATTTGTTTGATTATCATCTTATTAAAGCTAGTTCTATATTGAGTTTAGATTTGATTAATCTCATTGTTACACACACTCACTTGAGCTTATTGTATTTACATTCATAATATATTTAGGGTTGTGAGAGATGGTAACATTGAGTTGTGCCTAATTGAGTTCTCACATTGTTTAGAGAACAATCATTTGTTATGTGCCTAATTGTGAAGTTCACTTTGTAATACACTTGTACACCGAGAGGAGTGTGTGGTGAGGACGGAGTCAATACCGAGAGGAGTAGCGTCGGTGGCCTAGTGAAAGGTGATAATTCCGAGCACTTGAGAGAGTCGATACGTGAGGACCAACACTTGAGGTTGTAGCTTGTGTATGTACTTTGTGAGGATTTGTGAGAGTTGTCGGTTGACTTGATAACCGAGTGTGTAGAGTTTTCGGTTAGCTAGAAAATCAAGTGTGTAGAGAAGTTCCGGTTTCCAAATCGGGTTGTGTAGTGGATTCTTCCCGGGAGTGGGGAGCGGAGACGTAGGACGGAAGGTCCGAACTACGTGATCATTTCCTTGTGTTTGAGTTTGGCATTGACGTATTTATTCTTGCATATTGTTATATCGCCATTGTTGCATGATCATATTGTTTACCCTTGTTTATATTGTATATCTTTGCACATATCTTGTAGCATATCATACTTGCTAGGATATATTTGTTAATTTGTTTTAATTGGCATAAAATCGGATTAGATTAGCATAAACCCTATTCAAACCCCCCCCCCCCCCCCCCCGCCTCTAGGGTTCTTTCCTAGTGGCATTAGGGTCTAACAGGTTCATGTGTCTGGAGAACCTAATATTGAGAAAGCTTCCCAAGAAAAGTTTGATAAGGCTTTATGGCATGTTCACCTTTCACAACCAACTAAAGGTGATTCATACAAGGAAACAAGGGACAAGAGAAGGCTCTTCATAGACAATGGGATTTCACTTGGTTGAAAGGAAATTTCAACATATTTATTATGAACCCGAACACTATTATGTTTGCTTTCTCAGCCACAACCAATTTTCCAATTGAGCTTTTGGGTAAAGTGGCTATTTCATAAAGTTCTATCCAAGATCTTTGTGTTTCTTCGAATTTCTTACATGATCATGTTTATAATTAGTAATGTAAGTTATTCAATAAATGAATTCGAATAATCAAGAGAATCAAAATTTGACCAAAATAAAAGAATTCTTTAATGAAATTATTCATAAACTATATCAATAAAATTAAATACAAATACATTTTAGTACTCGAAGTATACCTATCAGATTTGAAGAAGCATCTTTATTCTAATTCAGAGAAATATTTGAATTCAGATTCAATAATTGAATGAATCCAAATAGGAACATGTCAATATTTGATTCAATTTGATCTAGTACCAGCCTGAAAGTGAAACTAAATATCAACCTAATATTTCATACTTTAAAAGAAGTATCTCATATGATGCGAAAACTCTTTCACAAAGGGACAGGATTAGTCTGTTCCACTATCAAAGAATATTTAACTAGAGGAGAAATCTCTGTATTAAAAACTGTTTGCTAAACGTAGTTATCAAATCAATGCTGTCAAAGATAAACTTATACAAACGAACTCCTGTGACGTTCAGAAAAAGAAATAAAAATAATGATGTGGTATCAACGTATCAGTTACACATTTATGCTTCTTATATAAACAAAGGGGCTAACCTGCATGCTGTGACTCTTTTGTAGGCCAATAGATGGAATAGCCAGCTAAATAAAAAATAAAGTTAACAATTATCTCAAAACCAAATTTCAAGCAAAAGTAGATTCAGTTTTCAAATTTGGAAGGCTACCTTTTCTAAGTCCACTTTCTCAGACGTTACTTTAAAACGTCCCTTTTGTTGTACCACTGGAGGTTTAGACTTGTCATCAAGGTCGTCGGAAGTTGACGCTGTAACAGAATTCCCAGTATAAATGACAAGAACTAAGTTATAGCAAACAAAAAAAAATTGTCGAATGCAAAACAAAGTTAAAGGTAAATTTCTGAAGGGAAGTTCATTTATGTGCCTGATGACTTGGATGCTTTAGAAACTGATTCAGCAGGCATCTCAGTTACTGTTTGAGACACATCTCCATTACAATTGCCCATGTTCTGTTGTAGATTTTGTTGCTTCAAACTACAAATTTTGCGTAGCGATATTATTATTGTTAATACGTCAATTCTCAATAAATTTGATGGAAGAATTAATCAAACCTCTCTCCTTTAGACGATAGGAAACTGTCTGATGTGCAAGAACTTATGGAGAATCGCCGTTCGTGAGAAGGGTTACAGAGCTCTGAGGATGAAGAAGATGCTGATAGCCTCTTCTCATGAGAACGCTGAGAAGGCATCACATCGACACTCTTCTCATCAATCTCTAATTCACAACTTCCACTGCATTCATTCTCTCTATCACTGCGGTGGAGCTGCACTTCAGTTTGCATATCACCACAACAATTTGGTTCGGCAACTTTAAAATCACAGTCAGATACATCAGATTTGGTTCTAGAAAATACAAACAACGAGGTGTCATCAGAAAGAGTAGTTAGAAACTGAGGTTCTTGAATTTCTAATACGAGTAGCCAGATAGATTTAAAATAAAGATAATTAGCATAATTTGGCTGCTACATAGTTTTCGTGAAAAAACTCACTTTAAAATTTCGCACATGTTTCAGGAGTAGTAGAGCAGAAAAGATTTTTTTTCGCAGAAAAGCAGTTTAAGTTCTTAATATTACCTCTGATAGAACTTATCCAGGTCAAGTTGCAAAGGCGGAGGTGATTTAATTTGCACTCCGTCGCTTTCCTGCCAACTTTTCATGCTGTTAGGAATCATTGACAGTCAAAACCAAATTTTATGTGGTCTCATAAAAACTTACTATATCGTCATCATCCTTTGAGGAGAAACTAGCAGCAGAAGTCATGCATTCTGTAGACATTCTTTCTTGCACTGGTTCAAGCTCAAACAATGAATTTGAACTTCCTCCTCGATCTTTACTAGGGTTGTTTTCCTCATTATCTGAAATCTGAAAACCAAGCATCACATTAAGACGACATGTTTAATATTTCAATAGGTCAAGATATGTCATGTTTGTACCAGTGAAGCCTGAGTCCTCAAGTCGTCTATGTCAAAGTTCCAGATGCTGATCCCTCTTTTATATTCATTCTACAAAGAGTGAAACGAGCGAAATCAAATAATAATGAAGGAACTACTTCTGTAGATTCGCAGAAGGCCAAAGAATTAAAAACACCTAGATAATGAAATAAAAGTAGAAACTATTCAAAGGGAGAGATCTCTCTTTGCAGAGAAGTAAGAGTTGACATAATATGTTTGAAATAAATGAGTAGACCGTAGCCACTCTAAAATTGAAATGGTCAACATGTACTGAATCTAGAAAAGAATTATAAGCCGTAGATGTTTCCGTCAGAAAATTGACACAGTGCAGCTAACTACTGATTACAGAATTCACCTTATGTTATTTATAAAAAAATCTCAATCCTAACAACTTTATGTTAATATCTGTTACCTGATGATGCAGATAGAAAACAAATAAGATGATACGCTCTTGCAGATCAAAAGCTGTTTTCACTAGGTTCAAATTAACAGGAATTAAGAGAATGGCATTTGTTGTAGTGACAGGCTATACACTAGCTAGGTAACCTGGATAAGGCTTTTGGTAGAAGTTCGCAAAAGATTGTAAAAACTTGGTTATATTTTATCAGGGATAATGTGGCCCTCAGTTTTTAGCAAACATTAAAGACTAAAGAGCCTCAAGATATGTGTATGTGTAGCCTATTTGTACCACAATGTGATTGATATTGGTTTCCATACTTTTTCTTTTCCAAAAAAAGTCCATATTTTAATCCATCTGAACCACTCATTAGTCATTATATAAAAGAACTATAAAATGAATAATAAGACAACATACCTGTGCAGTGTGAAAATTAAGTTAGTTAACCAAATTTCAGCTACTTGAGTTCTGGTACTACAGGTCCTAACTTACATTTACCCTGAACTTTTATCGAAGAAAATCATACAAAGTTGTCTTCAAACTTTTCATCACAATAGGCTCTACTTTGCATATATCCCACTCAATCCAAAGCTGTCACCATAATCCTCACTAGTTCCTCTAACCATGTGTCGTTTGATATGTGAAAACTAAATAGAAGCTTCTAGCTGTACGAACTGTCTTAACAAAACTGAAAAAAAACAATGGGTGACTTTGTCAGAACAATATTGCGATGATAACATTTAACATGACATACATTATAGGCCTCATGTGCTTAATTATGAGCTTGAAAGGTCTGGGATTGAAGAGAGGACTTACAGTCCTAGAACAGACTGGACGTTATGAAGGAGAGGTCCAGGTCTGAACGTCTCCCAATTCAGCCTATTTCTTTTCTAGAGAGGAATATAACCAGCTACTGTACTTGAAACTGACAAGATGTGTTTTAATTGAGCATATAAATTGTAATTGCCATACATGGTTTGTCTTTCTTCCTACATATCCTATAATTTTAATGTATAAGTTTAGATAGTTTATGTATTTGGCATAATTATTATTCTTGGGTTAAACGCATGGCTTCCTTTGTATTATGTTTCCTCTGTAATAGTGACCCAAATATCATGCGCTTCAAACCTGAAAATGGGTACTCGTGATCAAGATAGATAAAGGAGTCATGCTGACAATGTATCTTCTGCATTGTTTATTCCTTGTTGTTTAGTCTCACATTTGTTAGGAACAAACTTCTTTGTGTCCCTAAACACTATAAATAACATCCAATAGAGAGAGCTAATGATCTCTCTAGGGTGTATCATAGCCACCCTCTCTCCTCTCTCCAGTTTTCTAAACCCTAGCCGCCACGGCGCCACCCCATCAAACCCTAGCTGCCACCTTCTACCCCTCTCAAACCATAGCTGACACCCACGCAAGCCCTAGACAGCACTCTTCCAAACCCTAGCCGCCATCTTCTATCTCTCTCAATCCCTAGTCGTCACCCACCAACATCAAACGCTAACTGTTCGTCCTCAGCCGCCAACCCTAGCCACCACCACTTCCAACCATGTACTGCTCCGCCGCTACTGTTCATCGATAGTACTGTTCATCAGTGACACTGTTCACCCACCCACGATCAGATCCGATCTGAACCCCTTTTTTCATGTTGACTTCAATCTCCCTATTCAGTAACTCACCCCCTTCCTAGTTCATTAAGCCTCAACTTTGGCACAATTTTTTTTTCATCTATACACCCTAGATCCAAAACAATTAAAAAAAGTGTTAAGCTAGTCATTTGGCTTAATCAACTACATCTTCATAGATCTTGAGTTAATCATTTGGCTTACCAACTAGATCTTCATAAATCTTCAGCTAATCATTTAGCTTAACTAATTAGATCTTCATAGATCTTAAACTAATCATTTAGCTTCATCTCACATCTCACGATCAGTTGTTAATAATATCTTTGAGATAAGCGATAAGTCGTTCTCTCAAAGAAACCAAATTTGCAGAATGGTTTTACTTGGTGGATTGATTACTTGTGGTGATTACTTGTTGTGGATTGATTACTTGGTGTGATTACTTGTTGATGATTTATTTGTTGAAAATTAATTTGTCATTGGGTGACGTTGATAGTTATTTGCCGGGAAATTAATAGTTGAATGATCTTATTTGCTATGTTGATGACGTCCTTCAGTGATTCTGCTATTTCGGTGGACGAGAGAATTGAGACGAAGACCCACATGGAGGTTCTCTCTAACAAGATCATTGACCAGAAATTGAATGGGTCCAATTACCTACTATGTAAGCAACTGGTTCGAGTTTATATTTTTGGTCGGGAAAAGGATCATCTTACAGATGACCCCCCGTATCGGTTAGTGCATCTTGAAAATAGAATGACACTAGTCTATTTTATCAAATTTGGGGCAGCATAAAACCACAAGTCCTTCAGCTAGCAATTCATTGTAATACAGTGAAACAGGTGTGAAAGTTGACAATTATAATCAAGCCGTAGACACAAATCGTGTGTATGATGTCATTTAGGAGTTAATTCGGAGCAAAATGGATGAGCATGGTCAGACATTTGAGGAGCATTATGGCAACTTCAATCGCTTCGCAGAGGAGCTAAGACGGATTTCCCCCATTATGGGAGATGTTCAGAAGATGTAAGATCAGTGGGATGAACCGATGGTATTCGTCTTTCTTGGTCTCTTCCACCGCCTTATAATTCAACACGACCACATGTTATTAGGAGCTCTACTATATGTTCCTTAGCAGAGACATTACTTCTTGAAATCAGTAGTACAGAAAACTCCCATAAGTACTGCAGCAGAGTCCACCAACAGGTCTGCTCTCGCCACACAGAGCAAACAGTCAAGGGGTAATCATGGTGGAGGCCGCTTTGATGGACGTTAGGGATGCTTTGGAGTATGTGTGGGACAAAGTGATAGTCCACGAGGAGTTGTAGGGGAGGGTTCATCTAATTCCTTTATCCATTATCATTACTGTAAGGAACTCAACTACCAAGAAAACAATTTCGAAGTGCACATGTGGCTATACAGGAGAGTCTCATAGATAATGACACCCGCCACCAGCTTGAGTAATATTAGCTCTAGTTATTTTAATAATTTAAGAAGACACAATCCTTTCATGTTACAGCTACACTTGCCCAGTTAGCTAAATCCATTGCTTGTTTTACACCGTCATCATCTCGTACTAGGGCTATAGATTCAAGAGAAACTAATCATATGACTGAAAACCAATGTATACTATCCTCCTATACACCTACCACCTTCTTTTCTTCAGTAGCATTGGTTGATGGATCCACTATACCTATGAAAGGTGTTGGATCTACTAGTATTAGTACTGTTCCACTTTCATCCATATTATATCTTCCTCATTTTTTATTTAATCTCTTATTCGTCAGTAGGATTACTAAAACATTAAATTGTACAATATTATTTTTTTCTACGCACTGCCTTTTTCAGGCAATCAGGATTAAGAAAACGATTGACATTGGACATAAGCGGAACGGCTTGTATGAGCTGGACTTTTCCCCAACCCATGTGGCTTATATCAGCTCTATATCAGCCTTTGATGAACATTATTTGTTTGGTCATCCCACTCTTTTGATTCCTAAAACTTTGATTTCAAATTTGAATCATGTTGAGTCCTTAGAGTGTAAGTCGTGTCAACTCAGAAAACACCAATGGATGTCTTACCCCAGTCGCGTTAATAAGAGGGTTAATAACCCTTTTAATTTAGTGCATTCGAATGTATAGGGGCCTTGTTCTGCTCCATCCAAACTCGATTTTTAACATTTTGTTAGTCTTGTGAATGACTTTTCTCGCATGACTTGGATCTACCTGCTGAAAAGTTATTCTGAAGTGTTCTTTGTTTTTAGAGTTTTCTATGCTGGGGTTGAAAATCAATTTCATGATACCATAAAAACTTTAAGAACATATACTGTTAAGGATTATTTTGATAGCTCATTCACAAAATATTTAGAAGACAATAGCATTTTACATCAGACATTTTATACTTACTCTAACAAAATGAGGTGGCTGAGCGTAAGAACAAAAACTTATTAGAAATTTTTAGGATCTTGCTATTCCATTGTTAAGTTCCAAAATACTTTTGGGAGGATGCCACTTTAATAGTCTGCTACCTAATTAATAAATTACTCTCATATGTCATACAGAACAAAACTCCGATCTCTCTTTTTATATCCAGCTGAAGACACTTTTCATTTACTTCCCAAGATTTTTGAGTCTCTATGCTTTATTCACAATCATAGTCCTCAACGAAAGAAATTAGATTCAAAATCTTAGGGGTATTTTTCTTGGATATCCTATAACTCAAAAAGAGTACAAATGTTATTGTCTCTGATTGAATTAGTATATTGTTTCAGCTCATGTTACCTTTTTTTAGAACAACCAGGACATGTTGTCTTTGATAAATGCTTAGACCCTCCTGATAATTATGACTACCTTATTATTTGTGAAACCACTATCAATGTTCCTTTCAAGACTGTTGTACAATCTGATCTACCATCCAAGTTTGCGGAACAAGTTTAGATTTATACAAGATGTATACAAGTGATTAGCCTACTGATGATCTTCCTGGTGCCCCCCAAAAGGGTAAGAGATCATGTTCTCGGAGTTCTCGGTATCCTCTTATAAACTGTGTCTTTTACTTGTCATTATCTCTATCATATTATTTTTTCATATCTTCTTTGGATTCTCACTCAATTCCCAAGAATTTGTCAGAAGCTGTCTAAGCCAAGATGGAAGGTGACAACGCAAGAAGAGATGACGGCCTTAGAGCGAAACGAGAATTTGCATCTTGTTTCACTACCATCATGGAAGAAAGATGTTGGCTGCAAATGAGTTTATACTATAAAAATAAATCTAGATAGCTCTCTAGCTCGTCTCAAAGCTTAACTAGTTGTGAAGTGATATTCAAAGATTATGGCCTTGATTATATCGATACATTCTGTAATGACCATAAATTTTTCGTTATTGATTTGAATAATTTTTTTGGTATTTTAAATATTAATTTTTTTAAAAGAGTTTTTTTTTTCTTGTGTTTTCCTATCTCTCCTTAAACAATCTACCTCTCTCTCTAATCTCTCATCTCTCCCCTACCCAAATTCCCTAAATTCCTCCTCAAATTTCGCTTCCCCACTTCTTTGTGTCCCCTCCCTACAACCACATCTCTCTCTCTCTCTCCTCTACATAATCTCTCTCTCCCCCCTTTTCTCAGCTGCCAACACTAATTTCACCACTCTCTTATTTTTTTAATTCCACAACCATATCTCTCTCTCCTCTACATAATCTCTCTCTTCCTTATTTTCTCATCTGCCAACACTAATTTCTCCACTCCCTTATTTTTTTAATTCCACAACCACATCTCTCTCTCTCTCTCCTCTACATAATCTCTCTCTTCCCCCTTTTCTCAGCTGCCAACACTAATTTCTCCACTCCCTTATTTTTTTAATTCTACAACCCATCATCTCTCTCGTTCTCCGATTAATCCACCGCCCTCTAGCGCCTCCTCCGCTCAACTCAACCGTCGCTCCTCATCACCTTCTCATCCTCCTCCATTCCCCATACTAGCATCGCCGCCCCCTACCTCTTCGTCACCACCAAAACGCTGCCGTCCAGCTCCCCCTCCAACTCCAGCTCCAACCTTCCAGACCCATCGCCGCTTCCTGTCTCGCCGCCTCCATAGCCTGCCCTCGCCCGAGCGGCCGCCAAACTCCACCAAACCTGTAGCCGCTTCCACACCCTCCGCCAGTCGCGCCTTCCCTCCTCATCCTCCCTAGTCCTGCACCAACACCACCAGCCCGCCCATCAAACACCAGCCCCCCTCTTAATCAGCGCTGTCGCGAACTCCAGTAGCCGTCGTCGTCACCACCACCAACAGCCCCACGCCCAACCCCCGCTCACCCCTCTTCAGCTCCCTTTCCGGCTCCGTCACGCTACCCGTCGTCGCCGCTCCTCTCGCTGTGCCTCAGCTCCAATCAACCCCATCGCACCACCTTTACAGCGGAACCGCCGCCTCGTCCGCAGGCTCGTAGCTTCGCACGGCAACGTTGATTCGTTCGACAATAACCCGAGGCAAGATCCCATTCCTCAAATCTAAATTTTTAGATCTGTTATATGCATATATTAGACTATGATATGATTATGTTGTAGCGTGTATCTGTGATAATCTGCACGTGTTATTTGACGAATGATATTAAATAGTAATAAATAATAATACTGTGATAAATAGTATTCTGTAAAGATAAGAATTATTTTCAAGAAAAAGAAATATTTTAAAGACTATGTTAGAATAATTATAATAAATTAAAAGAATTTATTTTGGAAAAAGAATCATTTTAGAATAATAATAAATAATTTAAAGGAATTTATTTTGGAAAATAAATTATTTTAGATTTATTATAATGAAATATATTAAAAGAATTTATTTTGAAAAAGGTTCTTTTTAAATAAATAAATTTATTATTTTAAAAGATTATTTAAGATAATTTTATGAGAAGTTTAGAGACCCGGATCGAAAGTTATTGATGAAATCAGTCTGCAATGCATATTCATATTAAAGTTACTGCTCATAGCCACTGTTCACACACACCGTATTGTTCAGATGTAAATTGGGCAGGATCTCTTGAGGACAGACCTCAACTACTGGGTATTGTGTTTCTTAGAGGAAATCTAATATCATGGAAGAATAAGAAACAGAGTGTAATCTCTCGATCTGCATCTGAGTCGAGTATCGAGCCATGACATACTTGACTTAACGAGCTAATTTAGGTTAGAGATATATTAATAGAGATAGGTTATCCTCCGTAGTGTCTAAGAAGATGGAGAAGACAATCATTATAGCCAAACACATACCATCAGAACATCATCTTGCAGACATTCTTAGAAAACCTCTTGGGAGAACATGAACGAATTTTTATTTATAACAAGCTGGGCATGTACAATATGTATGAGGAGGAGTGTTGAGAGAGTTGTTTATTCCTAGTTGCTTAGTCCTATATTGGTTAGGAACAAACTTCTTTGTTTCTCTAAACACTATAAATAACATTTAAGAGAGAGCTAATGATCACTCTAGGGTTTTCACATTAACAGATGGATATTCACAACTAGATCGAGCCTTTTCAACAATTTACTAGGTACTTTTTCTATGACACAATTTTCCATAAGTTCAGCATGTTGTTGCAAGAAAATATAGAAGAATATAACATGATAAACTTCACAGTAGTACAGGAAAATATAACATGATAAACTTCACAGTAGTGCGGGAAAACATTAATAACTGCAAGATATGATTTCTGATGCAGTAGGTCTAAAGCAAACAATTTAAATAATAACAATAACCTTAACTCTGACCCCTCTTCTTGAATAAGATATTATCTACAGTTCCTATTTAACACACAAGTGAATATCAACGAATCGGAAACTTTTGGAGTAAGATGACAAACCTGTGATAGTTCTTCCTTTTTCCCATAAGGAATCTTCTTTTGTGCAAGCATATCTTCTTCCTTCTCCTGCATTCAATTAGGACTCTTATGGTTATCTCCTATATTCAAATCCTTGTAAAAGAACATGGTTGCATACCTTCAAGGCTTGATGGCGATCACCAAGAGTAGGCAACCCCTCCAAAATCTTACGTGATATGTAATCATGAGATCGGGCTTGTTTGAAGAAAGGCTCCTTTAACAACTTTTGAGCAGAAGGCCTTTTTGTAGGATCTTTCACCAGGCACATAGCTATCATATGTTTAAAAGACTAAAAGCAAAAGAAAAAGCTTATTACGTGAGAATCAATATTTTGAGAAAGATACTTATTTACTGTAATTTTATGAGAAACTCACCCTCGAAAACTTCCTGTCCCTTTCATAGTCAAGACCTGGAGGTGCATTTTGCAAAGTCATAAGAAGGACCTGAAAAATGATACGAATTAGAAATCCCTATCTTCCTTTATGGTGACAGCTAAAGATATCATGAAGAATATGCATAACTTTAACGACAAAAAAAATAAAGGAAATAAGATTGAAATTAGATAAGAGTCCATAGAAAAACTGAATTTGTTACTAAACCTCATATGAATTAACCAGCTATTGACGGATCACGAAAGTGAATTAGTTACTTGTATTACAAAGTTTTTCTATAAATACTAATCAATAATCCTCGAGGTAAAGAGTTTACATTAAAGATTAGGAAGGAAATTGAACACTTTTACATCCAATAGGTTACTTCATAAATCAAATGTGTCATGAGTTATGCTGACTTTTGACAATGCATAAATGCACTTTAAAGTGAATGTATGAACACAAATCTAAAGCCCTATGGCTAATAACTTTGTTAAAAAATATTCAACAGCTATCATAAATTGTGAAATCTAGGTGGGATACTCCAAAATATGAGCACGTTTATGATAATCTGTTTTTTTAATAATTTATTTTTAATACTCTGTTTTTTTAATAATTTATTTTTAACACTTACTTTTATTTGAAAAAATTACCTTCATTGGAGGGTATTTTGAAAAGGGAGCATGGCCATGAGCAAGTTCCAAAGCAGTTATCCCAAAAGACCATATGTCAGCCCTGCATTTCATTTGTTTATAACACCATAACTGAGAAGAAACATCCAATGGAACTAATGTGAAAATAAAATTGTATTATGGATAGATAGCTAAAAGAAAGTAAAAGACTAACTTGAAATCATAACCATGAAGTTGCTCCATCACTTCAGGTGCCATCCTAAAAAGAATGGGCAAATCTAAAAAACTGAAATTGTGAATAGATATAAATACATAAGTTTGCAAGGTTTTTTATGTGCACCAGCAAGGTGTCCCAACAAATGTATTCCTTGAGCGTTGCCGGTCACCCGAATCAAACAGAGAAGCTGAAACTCCAAAATCTCCCAGCTTAATCCGACCTTTAGAATCAACTAGGATATTGCCAGCCTGGAAGTCAATGGAAATATTACTAGAATAATCGAACATTAAGAAAATTCTAGGAAAATATGATGGCATTAACAACATATGACATAACCTAAGGACATAAATCACGGTATGAAAAGGAGAAGATAGAGATTTTAAAAGTTAATGTTTGTTAGTTAGCTAGCCACATTTTGTTTCTGTAGGCACATGAGTGACTTGTGAAATTCATCAGGAAAAAAACATGTAGAATAAAAGGAGAATGCAATTGAAAAATCCTAAAGTGGGAAGAAAGGAGGCATGTGAAACCAGTTACCCTAGTTTGTTCTGAAAGATGAAGAAATATCAAATTGCAGTTTACCCAACAACTCACAAAGTATGAATACTTTTATTAGCCTACTTAACCCGTCAGTAAACTAGACAAGATTGTGATGTGCATTCAATTAGTCCAAAAAAAATCTTCAAACTTAGTACCTTTACATCTCTATGTATGTGCCCATGATGATGAAGATAAACTAGACCTTTTAATGCTTCACGTAGTATTGTAGCAATGACAACTTCCTCGAAACCATTGGGGTACACAGACTTCATTATGTGAAGACAAGATCCTCCTGCCATATAAGGCATGACAACCCATAAGTTATGGTCATTCACAAAGGAGCAGTGCGCCTTAAGCACATTGGGATGGTCAATCAAGAGCATTATTTGGGCCTCGCGAGAGATGTTATTCTGCATAAACAGCAATAAGTTAAATGTCTTTGGAAATAATAGCAAATATAATCACTCACATCGATAAATCACATAAATCGTGAGCCACATACCAATAACTACCAGGACACAAAGTATTAAACAAAGTATTAAACAAAAACATCTGAAGGCTAGATGATGTTGGATAAAGAAATTATTACTAGGCAGTTGGATAACTGCTTTACCCAGCTCCCCTAATTTTTCTTGTATAATGTACTTTGTTATGCTTATGACCTGTAATGATATGTATTTGTATTCTATTTTGCTCCGGTTAAGAGGTTGAAGTAAAATCTCATTTACCAGTTTAAAAAAACCGCTTGCATGAAAATGTAGCTTGGGTAATAAAGAAAAACGCTTCATTGATGACAAATTAAAGAACTATGGTATCCTCAATGAAACATATCATGATAAAGTAGGATGTTCTTCTTTATGTAGTGGAATTTCATCTAACACATAGAAGGAAAAGTTTGCAATGTCTTGAGCAACCAAGTAGCTATTAGTATAAGAAACAGAGGATATTCTGGAAGCAGCAGAAAGTTGAAGCAGGGGTACAGCCAATTTATGAAGGTAAGTCATGAGACCTCATAATTCAACACCCACTCCCTCGCAGTCTCAGACAATAAATGTTTGAAAAGCTTATTTCTTTGTCTAGAGATCACCTTTAGTTTCAACTGTTATAAATATTTACATTTAAAAAATCACAAAAATTAACTACAATATTGTACTAGAATTTAGAGTTCAAAAGATCTACTTAACATATCATAAAAAACTTTTTTTTTTTGGAAAAGGATAGAATTGACAACTGACAAGAGTGAACAAAGAGGCCATGAGATTCTTATTTGAAATCTATATGATCAACATAGTCGCTTTTTTTTCTCCTGAAAAACAAAGTAGAGAAAACAGCTGTACTGATAGCATGTTTCACCTTAAGGAATGCTGTAAAGACTGCTAAAGCACTTCTTTAGCCCAGAGTTTGGTGTATATCAAGTTTCGTGTGTCAAGTAGAAAGAAAACAGGTAATTAATGGGCACTGCATTCCCTGCTCATTTATGAAGAATTTTAAATTCAATGTATTATCTTTTATATTGATTTTTTTATCTCCATTACTTCTTTAGAGTTAACTTCTTAGCTTCTGCTACATTCTTTTTTGTTTTAAGTTACTTTTTAAAGAAAGGTATTTGTATGTTAAAAAAATGTACTTTCACTTCCTCTCTCAATGCCAAGAGGCTACAAATTTTAGTTAATAAAAGTAAAAAATGAGCTTATACACCGGAGAGTATTTTTTATGCAAAAGATTGTTCTAGTTTCAAAGTAGGCATCATAAATTAGAAGTTTTCAAGGATTTTCCAGGCTTATAGGAGGACATTTTCTTAAAAGTGTTTCAGTTTGAACTAGGCTCAAAGGTCTCATATATACGGTTCAGTTTGAGAAATTTGCCTTAGAATGAAATAAGAAAACAAAAGATAATAGTTGCTTAATATGCCACATATATTTCTAACAAATTACAACATTACAGCAATAAATGTTCATCTAACACTAAAAAAGTGGTTATACAGGTTAAAGTCAAGTCACTGATACCGCAAACTAAGAGGTGTCCTATTCCCAAAATCGAGGAGCAAACCAACGAAAATATTATCCCTTCCCAATCAATTGGCAATTTCGAGACCAAAACAGAGCCAGATCCTAATTAATACATCCATTCGGGGGGAAATTATTGAAAACCTAGAATTACGAGAAACAAGATTAACCATGATAAAAATGATGATAAATAAAATGGATCGAGAATCAGGATTCAATAACCAGATCGCTGTTGTCCCTCTCGAAATCAAGGATCTTGATGGCGACGACCTCGTCAAACGGGACGCAGAGCGCTCGACGAACAGAAGCGCTGACCCCCTGCCCTACCATCTCGAACAGCCTGTAATCCTCCGCTCGCATCGGATACTTCTTCTTCTCCATCAAGAAACCCTAATTTCAGCACAATTTTCTGCCCTAGATCTGAAGTCGGAGGAAACGAGAGAGCGATGGAAAATGAACCTAAAACAAAAAAAAAAAGAGGTTTGGAGAGGTCTCGGGCCGCCTCAGGGGGCTTATTTGTATCGGAAAAGCGCGCGCCACTTGGATTTGCGACATTTATTGCCGGGCCCCACGAAATAACAAACTGTGTGGGTCCCGCTCGCAGCGGAAAAAGGGTGGGTGGATGTTTGGGTGGGATGACGAATGCGTTTGTTAGGGAGCGGCGCGAATCGCCGGGAATCCTCCTCGGGATTCAAACATGTGCTTTTTTTAGAAATTCGCGCAACAGCCGAACACCTTTCTCGCTTTGCATCAGACCAAATCTCATATGGACAAATTTTTAAAACCATCCGGTTTTGAAATTTATTTCCAAAAATAATTTTTTTTAATTTTAATTATAAAAACAGACACAGTTGGATGAAACTGGGTTTGTTTTTGAAAAAAAAAAATTTAAACTTTACGGAAGTTGAACTCCCGTAAAGTTTTTTCTCATAACAAAACTTCACGGGAGTTCAACTCCCGTAAAGTTTGAAATTTTTTTTTAAAAAACAGACCCAGTTTCATCCAACTAGGTCTGTTTTTGTAATTAAAGTTTAAATGGATCGTTTTTTATAAATAAATTTTAAAAAAGGATGGTTTTAAAAATTTGTCCAATCTCATATTAAGGCCACGGACGTCTAGGATTACATTCATCAAATTTCAATAGGAATTGTACCATGAAAATGAGCTCTTACGAATTATCTATGTAGCAATTATAGTTATATTTAAAAAAAAATCGAGCCGAACAGTTCCGAATATTAGAAATAATTTCTTCATACGATACTAAAGAATAATTATTAACCATGCCGTGAGTTGGATTGTTCTTTTCTGAGAGAGAAGGGACTTGTGCAGCTACGGGTGCTAAACCGTATCTGTATCTGAGAAAGTATATGTAACTGTATCTGTTAGAACATAGATATACTTACTCAAATATATAACCGATAGGAAATTGTTTTGTAGTGAAATATCCGGATCCGTATCCGAAAACATATTAGTCATCCTATTACTATAGTTTTAATACTTAGATTATGGATTTGAGGTTAAATTTGATGATCAAGATGTCTAATCTTAGCTTTAATTTCAGATATAATGAACTTGTTAATGAGCTCTTTTGTATCACATGGCTAATATTTATTTCAATACTACTAGTCTTCTCATATCTGTTTTTATATCTACATGCATATCCACTTATACATCCGCATGTGTATATGTATCCGTATCCGATTGTAGTGGATACGGATATGAATTTTCCTTTCCGATGTATATCTGTATCTGTATCTGTATTCATATCCGAGATGACTAAGCGGATATGGATATGATAAGTATCACACTCGAGCCGTATCCGGACCAAATGCACCCCTACATATGGAACCTCGGTGTCCTATCGTCTATTAAAATATTGTCTTGGTGCAGAGGAATAGAGCTCACAATCCATTTGGTTAACCAAACACACATGCAAGCTAAAGAACTATAAGCCATTCCACATAATACAAACTTCTTAGCTATAGATGTTACACCGCCATTTTCTTTAAACACATCGGTGGTTTCATTTCCTTTGAGAAACTTGTTCATCCGCCAATTTGTATTCATATCACTCTCAAACTTTTGTCTACATTATTTCATCTAAAAATTATATATTATTTCATCTAAGATCATATGACTGTAAAATCTACAATGCTCTGGGGGGGAAAAAAGAGCAAGTGGATGCAAAAAGTATTTATACATTATGCATGCTACAAAACACAAGATACCTATGAGCAGAGTCCACCACTGTCTCTTAATTAATCCATAGGTATTACGGTATTAGGAGAAAGCTATCGATTCAATATTTTACAAGAAACTAGCATGAAAAATTAACTCTAAAATTACCTTCTTAATGATGGAGCTTTACCATGGTTTTCCTGCAGGACGAAGTTAGATGTCCTTAATTATAAGGTATTTAAGCGCTATTTAGCCTTAAAAATATGAAATATTTAAGCAACTAATTTTTAAAAGGGTTATTCAGATATTAGTCCCTCGAATCTTCAGTAAATCCATTTTAGTCCCTCAAATTTTATGAAATTGCTCATTAGCCCCTTAAATCCGAGTGTTATTGCAATTTTGTCCCTCAATGACCGAAATCCCCTTAATTAATGTTTCTTTGGATGGTTATTTGCTCTTCGGCACTCTAAAGTTTAAAACAACTTTTAAAACTTTTATACTCCAAAAAAATATTTTGATACTTTGATACCCCAAAGTTTATACTTTTTTTTTAATTTTGATACCCCAAAGTTTGGTTTTTTAACACTTTGATACCCCAAAGTTTTAACATTTTTCAACTTTCATATCCCCAAAGGTTCCACATTTTTTAATGTTCGAATCTTAAGATTGCACATTTTTAACTCCGATACCCTAAAGTTTCCAGTAACAAAAGTGTCAAAAAAAACTTTAAGCAAAGTTAAGAGAAGATATAGAATTTAGTGTATTAAAGTGTCAAAAAACTTTGGGGTTTTACAGTTAAAAAAGGCGTAAACTTTAGAGCACCAAAGTGCAAATAACCAGTTTTTTAAGCGAGATGGATTTTAAGAGATAAATCAAACTGAGGGTATTTTTGTCATCGAGGGACCAAATTGCAAGAACCTTTAGGATTTGAGGGACTAATGAGCAACTATTGAATTATAGGGACAAACATGGAATCATTGAAGATTTGAGTAATATGTAAGTAACCCTATCTAATGAATAAGCATCTAATGAACCCTGAGTCTAGTCCCAATGGGCCCAAACATGCAGCCCATTAACAAACTTCGGCCCAAAAGATCCGCAAACAGCGCGTGCGTCCAAAGAGGACGTACTTATGAGAGGGAGAAAAGCGTCGTTCTCCACAAAAATCCCCGTTCGCATTTGGGATCTTCTTCCTTCTTTTTCCCAATATCCCGATGGAGGAGGTATTATTACTATTATTATATTTAATCTAATTACGTTTATTTTTTCTACGTTTGCGATTATTTGCAATCATTAGAGGAATTCGATCTCGATGATTCTTGCTTACTATTTCGATTACTTTCACGCTCTTGGCCCACGCCAATTGATACTTTAGGGTTTCATTTTGTATGCGTTCGATTCGTCAATTTGTTTTATTTATTTGTTTTGCGAATGAGGAAAAGTTTTTTTTTGTACCCCCCTTCCTTTTACTATTTTCTTGTTCAAATTTTATGCGGGTTTACAAGATTTGCAACTTGTAGCAATCAGAGATTGAGATGAGAGTATTAAATTACTCATTCGTTATGAAGATTGAGGGTTATATCTCTCATAAGCGACCACATTGCAGAAATATTTATTAAAGGAAAACTCTAATACAATGAATCTGGACACCCCTGTTGAAGGGTAACATCACATAATATCTTTTAATACAATTGAAGATCAGAAGCAATATGAGAAGTAGAGTTTGTTAACATTATTAGAAGTGATTCATTCTATGATGTGCGTGACGGGGGAATTATGACATTTGAAGATGAGAAATTTAGGAGCGTTTGAACTCTGTGGTAAAACTGTATCAGATTGAGTGTATGAAGTAGGTTCACTGGATGCGAGAACTCTTCCTTATCTGTAGTTGTTAGAATTTACTGTCTCTCAGTGTGTCACATTGTGTCATTTACTTGTTGGCATTTTTTGTCTCGATGCCAATTAATTTGGATTGATAGCGTAAAAAGCTCATAGATTAACTTATATAGAATGCTACATGGCAGCACCGGAAAGATGGGTCAAAATGTTAGAGCGAGCAGTGCAAATTGTAGCAAATGCAACTCTCATATTCTCACTCATCCTCAATCATCTATTTTCTTTGTTTTCTCTTTCTGTTTGCAATGTTTTTAAGGTAGAATGGTTCGGTATGTGCCATTTCTTATTCTATAGGCGGGCGAGATTGTTCTTTCAAATTGTGTTCTGGGGATTGTCTTTGGCCTTAGCATGACTATGGATGAATATGATACTACAATACTACTGTTTAAAATCTATCCTGTGTGAGGCATGCCTATCAATATGAGTATACATCTCAATTATAGACATGCTTACTGAGAAAATCCTAAAATTTTCAGTCAAGTGATTAAGCCTTTAACTTTTTCAGTTAGTCCACAAAGGACAAAAGACGGATCAAAGATCCGACAACGTGTTTAAAATTTTAAATAAATAAAATTTAGAGTACCTTAAAATCGATAAAAAAGGATTTTCAAGGAGAAAGTTATCTGTTAATTTCTGTGTACATAGGTGGTCGTCTAGAGGCTTCAG